ATAAACAGGGTGCTGTGTCTGCATTCCTTTCCTAGTGTTAGCTCAGTGTAACTATAAACAGTAGGTGTTACTAGATTTGGAGTGGACATCTGTAAAATATGCAGCCAGCATCAGAGAAATGCAGTTACTTAGAAGAACTCGGCTGTAAGGAAAATTCGCTAATAGAGAATCAGTTCTGTTTTAACCAAAACCAGGACATCTACTTAGTTTGACTGTCAAAGTAACCAGAGCACCTGCAAGTTTATCAGCTACCTGTCCCGGTTAGGCAGCAAAGTATAGGAGCAACAGTCTAATTTTGGGTGCATGAGCATATCGACTGCTGCTGTTACCCTGTGTGGCTGAGAGAGGACTAGGCACGCTGTGGTTAGGAGAAGACTAGTCTTTTGAGTCCACTTTTGCCATTGTCCAACACATTAAAACTTAAATGAAGCTGCTTGAAACCTGCCCTTGATTTACCTTTCTGCTGGAAGAGAAGTATTAAAGATTTGGCCAGAAGAGAAGACCAGGAGACAAAGGCAAGGCAGTAGAGGAGAATCAAAGATAATTTAATGTTTCAAACCTGTTTCCTCTTCCTGTCACACAAGGGTTTGGGCTAAGCTCTCAAAACTTTTTTCCTGGTCTTGGCTGGGAAAGCTGGCTCAGTTCTGAGATTTGGATGTGTTTGTGCAGGTAGCTTTATCCCATGAATGTGCTGGACCAACAAGTGAGTTTCTGAAGAAGCAGCACTGGAAAGAGCAGAGCAATTTCTTTAAAAAGCAAATAGCAGAACTATGAAAGAGATGGAGGTGGGCAAGCAGGAGTTACAGTGTGGGTTCCCACCAGAAGAGGGGCAAAATTGGGCTAGGGTGTCAGCTTCCGGCAGAAGAAAACTGAGGAAGAGCGACAAAGTATATACAGTCCTGAATAGCGTGAAGCATGAAAAGTCCTTATTTCTTGTTAGAAGGGAATTTAAGGAAAGTGTCAAATGGCACTTTAAAACAAAAGGAAATGCTTTGCCTAACAAAATCGTGGCTCTGGTTACCATGGGTTGTTAAGGGAGTCTGAAGGCATGCGTGGGTTCAAGCTAAGGAGACCACTTCCTGGTGGCTAGGTCCACGGGGTTATTGAACACGGCATTTTGGATCCATCTTCTGATGCAGGCAGGCTGTGCTCCTCTGTCTGCTGGAAGCCAGGCGGGTCTTCCTGGGGAAACAACATACTTGCCTCGATTTTTTTGTAGCCTTTCCGTAGTTACCTGTTAGTGGCTGTGTTTGAAGCCGAGCTAGCAAGGCAAACCTTTGGGCTGACTTTCAGTTGTCCTTCTGTTTGTTGGAGTACAGTAAAGCCAGTTACGCAGACCTTGTTGTGGTGAGGGAGGTGCTACAGTCATCGCGGGCAAACCTTTGGGCTGACCTTCAGTTGTCCTTCAGTTTGTTGGATTACAGTAAAGCCAGTTACGCAGACCTTGTGGTGAGGGAGGTGCTACAGTCATCGCTTTCTGACAAACTGCAGCACGGGAGATCTGGAAAACATTTCGTGTCAGTGAGGCAATGGGAAGGATTCCTGGGGAGGATGTGGGGTCCCTGCCTTTAAAGGGTCCCGTAAAGAGGCTAAACAACGGTCAGGAAAAAATGCAGAGTTACTTAGGCATTCCTTGGATCAGGGATCGATGTGACCTGATGGCCCTCCAAACCTCCTGTCTATCTGGATATCTAGATATATGTGTCCATAATGTACCTAATATATATAGTGTGTGTGTGTTGTAGATAAGTTATTAAATAAATAACATGAAATGTAAATGTAAACAATGTAAATTACCTAAATCAGCCCTGGAATGTTTTTCACTCCCCTAGACTATTTTATTATTTTCACAAACAAGAATTATCAGGTCTGCTTGGGAATATGCAGGATGCACTGGCAATCTAAAGCAAGAAACGTGTGTGAGCAGACGACTGACGTTTTTACAGGAAAGCCCAAAGCCCTTAGAGAGAGCAACGCTTCCTTCCCTGCTACCCTGCCTGTCTCCCCTCGGTTCCTGAGCTGTGTGACCCCATTCCCTACTGATGCATGTTTCTGTTTCTTCTCTTTCCTTTCTTTCTCTGTCTGGCTCTGCTGCTCCTGTCCAGGTGCCGTGTGTATGGAAAATGCGCTGAAGCTGGATCCGGGGCG